AATTGGAGACCCTATACATTTTGATGATCTGCTCAATGTAGAAGATACCTCAGATGCATCAAGAGGGAAATTATATGATGCTTTTGCATCTAGAATTGGGCACCATCTGCAGAATTTAAAAGTAAAAGTCGACAAATTAGCGCTCGAGCAATATATCGAGTTAGAAAACCATAACAAAGATGGTGCAGAATGTGCAGCCAATTTCTTGCACCAGGTAGATTGGGATCCATTTGGCTTAGGAAACCATGAATATATGGCAGCTGAATCCTCAGTAGAAAAAACCCAAGATCGAACAAAGCTGAATGATATCGGTCCTGAAGAAGCCACTCCAGATAGGTATTCAAGAATGGGATATTCTTGTGAAGATCGGTTCAAGGATTCACAACTATATGGATCCAATTGAATTAATGGGATTCGCAGCGAGAGGCTTGTTGATGAACCGGTGGTCGAAGGAAAATTATTCGAACATTGGTGACATACGCCCACTGAAGAGTTGGTAACGGTTTTTCGAAGCTAGTTTGTTACAACAATGGAATGCATGTTAAATTCCACCGCTGGGAACATGTAAATGAAAGATTTGATGTTTAGTGACTTTGTTAAACAGCAGTTTTGATCTATGCTAATATAAATCTCCAGCCATTTTATTTCAAATTTAGCAATATTTATATTAGATTTTACACATATTCAAATATAAATATAATATTATATCCCTCTAAATATTTATAAAAAAAAATGCTTATATACGATACATATTTATATAATGCTTATGAGTGTTATTTGTTCGGTTTAAAAGTTTAACCGGTTGAATAATAAATTGATTTGGTTAATAAGTCGAATAATTAGATGTTGGATTTAATGAGTTTTTTAAGGTCCAATTATTGGTTAATTATCGAAACAATTGAAAATATTAAATATTTATTATATTATATACTGTACTAAAATAAGATCCAATTACTTTACAAATTTTAATTAATTTAAAAGTTGAACAAATCAATTGAATTTTATTTGATTTAGTTAATAATTATTTAAAAAATTCAATTCAATTAGCAGTTTAGAAAATCAATTACTTTAATTTTAACTAATTTGATGCCTGAAACGTGATTAGGGGTGCTTATTGAGCGAGTCGATTGCGAGTTGGACAGTGCTCGACTCGTGCTCGTTATAAAATTTTGTTGCTTGACTCGTTGCTCGTTAAGCTCGATGATCGTTAAGCTCACCGAAAATTTTACCTTATTTTCTTAATTATAGGTAAAATCTACTAATACTATACAAAGCTTAATATAAACATAAATTAATAAATTTAACCAAAAATATTAACAAAAGAGTGTAGTAAACAATTTCAAAATCTAAATTATAAGGTAACAATCCACAAATATATTAAAATAATAAATATGGTTTGATTTTTTAGTGTAATAAAATACTAATTAATAATTTAGTATTTTGTTGTTTTTTAAGATTACAATTCTTCATCTTTTTTATTATCTATTAGTAAATTAATGTTTTTTAATGAAATATTTTTTAAAGATAATTACTGAAATATTATAAAAAAAATTAGCGAGCTGCGCGCGACCTTATCAAGTTGAGTTGGACTTTTGCTCGAATCTTGTTAAGGTCTCGAATCAAGCTCGAGTTTGATTCGAATCATTTCAAGTCTAATTTTTATCAAACTTTGACCGAATCGAGTTCGAGTTACTCACGAGCTGCTCTACTCATTAAACACCCCTAAATTCGATGCTGCCAGAGTTCATATGCATTCAGATCCCAATAAGCGATAAATTAACCGAAAGATTGGGCTGTTCTGAGAAAGAAATGAGCCCAATAATTACCAGAGAGGCCCAAATTAACAATTCACCGCCTTCGATGTCTTCCTTTTCTTCGCGAACAAGAGAACTATAAAGATCTTTTGTTTTAGTCCCTATTTCTCATTCTCTTCGCCTTTTTCTCCATTCGAGCTGCTTTCTACGCTTTCTCGGACTCTTCTTTCGATTGAAATTTTCGTTCTTGAAATCCGTCACCGATGGCGACCGCTATGGTGGAAGATTCGACCTTTGAAGAAGACCAGCTTGCTTCCATGACCACCGATGATATTGTCCGAGCTTCCCGTCTTCTTGATAATGAGATTCGAATTCTCAAGGTCCTTCTCCAGCCTTGATCTCTCTCCATCTCTATCTCTGTTGATTATTATTATTTGTTTCGTATGTCTTTAGGGTTCTTGTTCTGGTTTTAGGGTTTTTAAATCCACGACTATCAATTTTAATATAACGTTGTCTTTCCATTACTCGATGTTAGTCGGATTTTTGTTTTGGACATTGATTAAACCTAAGTATTTTTTACAATTAAGGGAAGGTTCTTTAGTTTAGTGGTAAATTTCATGGTTTTATTAGAAATGTGAAATCTTCATGCTTGAAGCCAAACAATTTTTGTTACACCGATAACTTTTGTTCTTTCGGAAGAATGTAGCTATATTTAGTGTGAATTTTCTGATTTTTGTTTTAATTGGTCACTGGGATTAAAGGAGGAGATGCAAAGGACAAATCTCGAGTTGGATTCATACAAGGAAAAGATTAAGGAGAATCAAGAGAAGATTAAGCTTAACAAGCAGTTGCCTTACTTGGTCGGCAACATTGTTGAGGTAATTCTTGCTTCATTTTTCTTCCTTTCTTTGTGTTTCAGTAGGTCTTCTATTGATTTTGTACGGTATATATGATTCCGAATTTGAACATCCTCAAAAGAGTATTCAAAGGGGTACTTAAAGGAAAATGAAGAGTAGGGAGTCACATGGTGTCTGTTTGGGTGCTTTAATTTTAATTTCTATTGCGTTCAGATATTGGAGATGAATCCTGAAGATGAGGCAGAGGAGGATGGTGCCAACATTGATCTAGACTCGCAAAGGAAGGGTAAATGTGTTGTGCTGAAAACTTCTACTCGTCAGGTAATGGAAGAGCATGATTTCTTATCTGCTACTTTTAGGGAATTCGATAATCTGTTGTGTTTTCTCTAGTGAAATTAGTTATCAAATTAATATTTCATCATGATTTTTTTTATTCACCACAGACCATCTTTCTACCCGTGGTTGGACTTGTTGACCCTGATAAATTGAAACCTGGTGATTTGGTTGGGGTTAACAAAGACAGCTACTTGATATTGGATACTTTACCACCTGAGTACGACTCCAGAGTAAAGGCTATGGAGGTTGACGAGAAGCCAACTGAGGACTACAATGATATTGGTGGCTTGGAGAAGCAGGCAAGTATTTTTTTTTTAATTCCCACTGCCTCTGAAAATATTATTTCATATCTGTTAGTTTAATGTGAAATGCTGTTTTCCTTATACTTGTTCCTGGATCAGATACAAGAACTAGTTGAGGCCATTGTGTTGCCCATGACTCATAAAGAACGATTTCAAAAGCTAGGCATTCGCCCACCTAAGGGAGTGCTCTTATATGGACCTCCTGGCACTGGAAAAACATTGATGGCTCGTGCTTGTGCTGCACAGACTAATGCCACGTTTCTGAAGCTAGCAGGCCCCCAACTGGTTCAGGTATTTAGTCTTGTATCCTTTTCAGCTTACTTCTCTATATTTCGATCTTGTCTACTCCTTTCAGTTCATATTGCAAACAATTTTTTGCCGTACTCCTTGGTTAGTAGAACATTATAGAAAATTTGTAACAAAATAGTTTTTTTAATATTTTAACAGCATTATGTTGTGATTTTATGTTGGCTTGCTTAGGCTCTATATTAAGTAACATAAATGTAATGCATGTAGATGTTTATTGGAGATGGAGCAAAACTTGTACGTGATGCTTTTCAGCTTGCAAAAGAAAAATCTCCATGCATCATTTTTATTGATGAAATTGATGCAATTGGCACAAAGCGTTTTGATAGGTAAATGTCATATCTTAATATATTCAGAAGCAAATTTGTTGAGGCTGCTAGTGGCATTTATTTGTGGATAGAACCACTGATTCTTGATCTGCCTTTTATCATTTGCAGTGAGGTGAGTGGAGATAGAGAGGTTCAACGAACAATGTTGGAACTGCTCAACCAGCTTGATGGCTTTAGCAGTGATGAACGCATTAAGGTTTGCCTTGGCATGACTTTTTTGGTTATTTATTTGCTAAAATATAAGTGGTCTATTTTAATTAAATGAATGTATTGTAGGTCATAGCAGCAACTAACCGAGCTGATATTCTTGATCCTGCTCTGATGCGTTCTGGTCGATTGGATCGTAAAATTGAGTTCCCGCATCCCACTGAAGAAGCAAGAGCTCGAATCCTTCAGGTATGGCTTTCAGTGCCATCGCTTCCATGGATTCTAACCTGAGCTGAATTTTACTGAATACTTCCATTGATTTTGTAGATCCACTCAAGGAAGATGAATGTGCATCCAGATGTCAATTTCGAGGAACTTGCTCGGTCTACAGATGATTTCAATGGAGCACAACTGAAAGCTGTTTGTGTGGAGGCTGGCATGCTAGCTCTTCGCCGTGATGCAACTGAGGTGCAGATCTAATCTTCTAGGAGTTTATTTACTTAAAATTTATTTTTAGCAAGAAAACATATTGAAACCTGTTAGGTATTTCATAGTGAATGCGTTGGGTGTGCATTTTGCTTGTGAACATTTGGAGCCGTGAGAACTGCGCATATTAAAATGGGTTTGGATCTATCTGTTTTATAGGTAAACCATGAAGATTTCAATGAAGGTATCATTCAGGTACAAGCAAAGAAGAAAGCAAGCCTAAATTACTATGCTTAATCAGAGAGCATTTCACTGGGGGGAGGACATGGCATTGTGCTGTTGGGGAATATGTCCAATTATATCGTCTTAGGCCTGCAGTTGTATTATTTAAATACTACCATGCTTTTGTTCGTATCGTGTCATACTGGAGGCTGTTTAGCCGGGGGGGGGGAAAAGGTAGAAAAGAAATTGAAGTTGGGACATCTTGAAATCAATTTCCTGTACACTAGTTTTTTTTTTGGAGAAATATCATCATTAAAAAGGATGGCTGCATTTGTAACACCGCCTCTAGATTTACACAACCAGTCAGCAATGGCAATTCCGGTTCAGTATTGGGTGAAACAGTCTCCCTTTCACACCCTACTTACTTCAAACCTATAGGCAAAGTAAAGTCGGATCGGTGGCGCCGTATTTGACGTACGCAGACACTATCACACTAAGCTACTATCATCATGCATTCTTTGACCCACGAAACTGCAACACGAATTAACTCAAATGGTAAGAAGGGTGGTTTTATTGGAAATGGAGTAAAATTGCAGATGATGTAATACGATATAACGGATGAACGGTTGGGTAGCAAATATATGGTTTTGCTTCTCTGGCTCTAATTTGGGTGTCAAGTTGTTGAAGTACCTTTTCAAAAAATGGTTGTCTCTTGTTCCCATATGTAATGGGATAAGGGAGAGGTAAGATAGTAGGCTGTCTCCAACACCAGGTTGAGAGCAGTTTCCGTAGAAGACTTTCGAATTATAAAATGTCTTCCGTGAAATTCGATCTCACGATCTTAAGGTTAAGAACCTTGTGCTCAAGGTTAAGTACCTTTTCAACAAGGTTAGAAATTGCTTCTTGTCAAAAGCAGGTTACTCCTACAAATTGAATAAACATATTCGGTGTTTGTTTGTACCTGAAGACGACCTTAACACAATCAAGCAGTGAAGAATAAAAAATGTTTCCTGTAACCGGATCCTAATGAACTTAACATATTCGGTAATCAATGTCAAATACCACTCATCTTTAAGTTCGGACTCAAAAATACCATCGATGTTTTAATTTTGTCAATTTTAGCACGGACGTTTATGTTTCACTGCAATTTTGCCGCTTCGCCGTTAATCCGTTAACGAGACGATGACATGGCATCTTTTTTACGTGATGGCGATGACATGACACCCTCATCAAAATAACGCCGTTTTGACACGACCGTTTTGATGCTCAAAAAACTCAAAACAACGTCGTTTTGTTAATAAAAAAAATATGTTGAGCCGTAAACTTTTATAATCCAAATCTAAATACCTAACCACCGAGCTAACTTTAGAGCTAACTTTAGAACTTGGTATAACCTTAACAAAACTATTATAAATTTAGTTCTTCATGTGAAAAAAATTATGATTACTAGTTGTTTAGTCGATTTTTGGGATTGAAGTCTGGTTTTTTAATCCACAGATACCCGAAGACCTTCATTTTGTGCTGAGAATGAGGCATACCTTTGAATCTCTTGGATACCAATCTGGTTTCTGTCTGTCTCAGTTGTTTTCATTGAACAGAAATGGTTCGTCTCTATCGACTATTCCTTCGAAGCAGTCCACCGTTCCAATGCTGCCACCTCCTCCACTCTTCAAATGGAGCCAGCAGCCACTTCCGACAGCAACTAATCTGACGCTTGCTTCGCCTAATTTTCAGAACCCGGTTAGACTTGGATTTCAGCAACCCAAAGACGAAACCCACATGTTCCTATTGCCACATTCGTTCGAAACCCGAATGGAAGACATGATGGTTGAGCATGAAAACGACATCAAATGCCCTAATGGCTTGAGTTTCTTCAGTGCTCTCACCGGACGAACCGAAGACGCCAAGCTTTTATTCAACTATGAGAGCTTAGGGAACGAACCAGAAACAAACCATCACCCGCTTATACTCGAAGGAAAAGACTCGAATCAACATTCAGATAGCTTGGATAGTCATCAGGAGAACTTTCCGATACCCGCAAGAATGGCAACGTCTTCATCGTCGACTTCAGTCGAGCATCATCAGCACCAACCCGGGGAGTATAGGAACTCCGAGCCCGGGATGTACACGGATGTCATGGAAATGTTCTTGGAATGAAATGCAGAAGGATTAGGGTTTGTTTGTTTGTTTGAATATTTTCACATGAAGATAGTTAGGAAGATAATGAGGGTGACGGTGGTAGCTATGCCATTTATAATAGTTTTGTTAAGGTTATACCAAGTTTTTAAGTTAGCTTGGTGGTTGGTCATTTTGATTTGGATTCTGAAGGTCTACGGTTCGAGTATCATGAAAAACATATTTTCCATCAACAAAACGACGTCGTTTTGAGCTTTTTAAGCATCAAAACGGTCGTGCCAAAACGATGTCGTTTTGGTGAGGGTGTCATGTCATCACCGTCAAGGAAAAAATGATGCCATGTCATCGTCCCGTTAACGGATTAACGGCGGAGTGGTAAAATTGCAGTGAACCATAAACGCCCGTGTTAAAATTGACAAAATTAAAACGTCAATGACATTTTCGAGTCCAAACTTAAAAATGAGTGGTATTTGACATAGATTACCCTAACATATTTGCTGATTCTTCTTATATTTGTTTGGCCATAGAAACTCCAAACGCCTGTTAAAATATCCAAGATCTACCTATTAAAGTAAGTTGTTACATCTTTGAAAAATATTATTAATAAAGACGTAAATTTTAAGAATATATTTATAATATTAGTTAAATTATATGATGTTTTTTAATCTTGTTTCTCAAGAAAAGTTTCTCCATCATTTAATTCTTCAAATTAAGATTTCAATTTCTGAAGATCTACCGTGCCGTTTATATTTTGGTTTCTTTTTATCTCTGTAACTTTTTTTCTATGGGGAAAACAGTGATATTACACTCTAAAAATCAATTGAAATTCAGATTTTTCCTCCCAAAGCTTGATATATATATATATCACATTATATTATATATGTAGGGGACTCTTAATTTAATTTAAATGAAAAAATTAAAGAGGGATTAAAACTTGACATGAATAAGATAGAAATGTATATATATTATTAGTACAGAGGAATTCTGTTAAAGATTTTATGAATATCATAGACATTAAAATTTAGATGAAATAGATGTTGATTAGAATATAATTATCTAAAATTTAAGAGTCTACTAATTGACGTGATAATCGATTATAGTAAATAATAATTCAAATTTTAATTAAAAAGTATATTATAGAGATAAATTAAAATATTTTAAAATTCAATGATAAACATAAAGTTTGTTTATAGATTTTTCCTTCTGATTTTTAAGATTTGATTATGATTAATTCGGATCTTACATTTGATTTTAGTAGGTGAGCTTTTCCAACGAAATTTTTTTAGATACCCACAAATATAAACTCCAGATCTACTTAAATAATATTAAATCACTTATCACTTAAATTAATTCCGCTATTATAAATTTTCAGTTTAATTCTATTGAAAATAATGTTATAATATATATATATATATTTCGCGCAATAATGCATGTCAACTCGAAGAAAGAAAATAAGAGAAAAAGAATTTAAATAGAAACGACAGCGACGAAAATATAAGAGACCAATTTAATTTCTTATCTTCCCATCCGCCTTCCGAAAAAAGAAAATCTAAAATTTGTGTTTCTTCTATGGTCAATCAATAAAGGAATTTTAGACGGCATGTAGCTTTCTTTCTTTTTTTCCTTTTCTTTTCTGTGGGGTAATTTTATCAGGTTGGAATCGGAGGAGGAGGGGAAGGAAGAGGGGCTGATTTTATTTTTAAAAAACAACTTTATGGAATTTAGCCTCTGAAAATTGAGATTCGGGAGGTGGCTTAATATTTAAGTTTATAACTGTTTTAATTATGGGATTAAGGAGTAGTGGTGGAGATGATGTGGTGGTGGATGAAGGTTGCCGAGAGGGCGATGGTGCTGATTGCCAAAATGGAGGGAAGTCCCTCGGTTTGGTTTCATGCTCAATTTGCCTCGAAATAGTTACCGATAATGGAGATCGATCAAGGGCTAACCTTCAATGTGGTCACCAATTTCATTTGGGTACGTCAAATTGTCAAGATTTGAAGTTGATTTCGTCTAGAAATATTTTTCCTATAAAATATTGGGATTGTAGACACCTATTTTTGTCCAGATATATAAATATTATTTATTATATATAATTATTGTTATTATTAATATTATTATATTTTCTTTTACAGACCCCAATACAATAAGAGTCCAATACAAGCAGAATCAACCCAAATTACAAAACCCACTACAGGTCGAATCCGACCCGGTCCAGGCCCAAGACCCGACCCATTCAAGTTAGGGTTTTAAACCCTAAAAATCAACAATCGTGTCACCAACACACGAGCCAGTCGACGAGCCACCGATAAGTCGAGCTTCTCAAGTGAAGCCATCATCGAGACATCAAGCCGAGACCTCCCAAGCCACTGCACTGTCGACAAACTTGCAACAAATCCTAACAAAAGTCAAACAAACAAACAAAACCTTCCCTAAGCTTCACCTAAACCTTTCATTTTTCATACCAAACACAAAGAAAAATACAGATGCAGCCGTGAGGATTTGGTGAAGAGATCAATGATAAATCAAGGGTGTTCGAACAGATTGAGGGGAGCAGAACCGAAAAAGAAAGGAAGGGAAAAAATAGAAAAAACCCGAGAGAAATATCAGAGGGCTCGAACAAAAAAGAGGAGAAAAAAAGGGCATCTTGTAATCACTCGAAAAATCAATAAAAAAAACTTTCAGATTCAAACTAAGAACGAGCCAAGGTATTTTGATTTTTTTTACATGCATTTTGTTTTTTTCGAAATAAAAAAAAAGAACAGAAAAAAGGAGTTAAAGCTTTTTACCTTCAGTTTCGGAGGGTCTTCTCCGGTCTCATCCCATGGCCGTCAAAGGGGACTCGTCGTGATGGAAAACAAAAGGGGATCGTCGATTTGGGTGTTTAAAAAAAATCAGTTTCGTCAAAGTATGTTAGGGTCTCGGTTTTAAGGGTTGAGAAAAAAAAAAAAACAGAAACGAGGGGAGCCGTTAATTTACTTGTGTTGTGAGTCCCACGATGAGGTTTACTTCGGTCTCCATGGCCGTTTGAGAGCTGAATTGATGAATGGGGTGTGAGCTTCAGCGTGGGATAGTTGCAAAACCAAAGAAGGTTTTTAAAAGAGAAAATAATTCACTTACCGAAAATGTCTTATAATATATAATTTTAACTAATTTTTTTAAAATTTATTAAAATAACTAATAAAATCACAACGCGAACTCTAATTTATTAACTCAATTTTTAAATTCGTAACGTAATTTTACGATAGTCCAAGTTTACGTTACGATTTTTTAAATTTGTTACGATTTTTAAAATTTACGTTAGTCCAAATTCGTTGCGATAGTCCAATTTCACATTGCGATAGTCGAAGTTCGCGTTGCGATTTTTTAAATTCGTTGCGATAGTCCAAGTTCGCATTGCGATTTTCTAAATTCGTTGCGATAGTTCAAGTTCGTGTTGCGATTTTCCAAAATCACAACGACTGGTGGTATTGCATTTGTTTCTTAAGAATTTTCTCTAAAAAGATAGTATCCGCGCGAACGTATCGAAGACACGTATTACCACGACTAAGACCAAGACCATGACCCGAGACGGGACGACGGCGACGACGATGTGCGGGAGTCTCCCTTGTTCTCTTCCACTCAACAAGGAAGTTGGAAATCCAAGCCTTAAATACTCATTCCCAATAGTATTTCCAATACTATGTGGGATTGAACATTGTCAACGCTTGGAATCTTTTACACTATCGCAACATATTCTTTATTGTTTCAAACTAAGATCTTACAAATGGCTTGGGAATCTTTTACACTATGGCAACACATTCTTTATTGTTTCAAATTCCATATGAATTTAAAATAGTTAAAATGTAAACTTATTTTGGATTTTTTACTATCGCAATACTTTTTCACTATCGCAACAACACGTTTTTCAAACTCTCGCAACATATTTTAACTATCGTAACATATTTTTCAAAATCGCGTTGCGAATCTAGATATTCACGTTGCGAATTTGGAAATTGAGTTGAAAAATTAGAGTTCGCGTTGCGATTTTTGTTGGTCATTTTGACAAATTCAAAAAATAATTAATTAAAATCGTATATTATAAGATATTTTCGACCACTGAAATTATTTAAAGGGAGCAGCACCTGCTAATTAGAATTTAACGCAATAAATGGCACAATATAATACATGTGCAAACTGTTTTTGGTTTAATGTTTCTTCAAATCCCCTAATTTGCATACCTATTTGCGTTATGGTCAATGAATATTTTGGTCAAATCACATTCTGGTCCTCTAAAGTTAGCCATGTTTTCATGTTTTGATCCCTCTACTTCTACTTTGTTTTTACATCTTGGTCACTATACATTTGTGTTTTATGTATTGTGATTCTGACCCCCTGATCTACTTTGTTTTAATTTGGTCACTAATCTATGTATTTTTATTATGTTGAATTAACTACCAACTTTCCTAACTTACTAACATTCTAACTTTTATTTTATTTGTTCATATTAACATACTGCCTTTTTTATTTTTATTGTTCTTACTCACATTTTATTTTATTTGCACAAACTAACCCTCAACTTTTAGATTTAATGCGAATTAATTTCCTTTGTATTTATTTATTTTTCTAACATTTTAATTTTTAGTATTTCATGTTTCTGCTTTTTTAATTTTCCAACATATTATTTCAGTCCTTTGTTATTGCTTTAACATTATTGTGCATTATTATTTTGTGGCCCCATACCACACCAAACTTTGAAATTTAATTCAATGTGGGGTGGTCATTTTCTTATAGTGAAGAAAAAAGCAAAGAAAAGGAATGCAATTAAATGTTATATATAGATAAACTAACAAACCCACTAACTAGCTAAGTTTACCAACTACTTAATTGTAGGGTTATGCTAACACGTCTAATCCAAATTTCTAAAAGAGGTTTAGCATGTCTGAATAAGAAATTATGTCGACCTGTGCTTTATTGTGAAGTTCATTTGTCAACTTTATAAAATTAATAAATTCGAATGGAGGAGAGACAATTTTCTTTATGTTAATATTTGTTATAGTTGAATGATATGTTTGTATATGTTATTGAAATAGTCACATCACCTTAAACCTAACCCTTGCATCACAATAATGTATGTATAATTTATTGTTATAAATATTTTATTTTAGTTATTGTTTCGGGCATTTATTTTAATTTTTGTTTTTGGAAATTTAATTATGAGAGAAATTTATGAAGATATATCTCAAATATAAGCGAATGTGTCTTTCTAAGGATGTCCCTTAAATGCTTGTTTTGTAGTCAATAATTTTATTTGTTCCACGTTTATTTATTTCGAATATTTTCACTGTTTTTCACTATTATGTTTTTATTTTTATCTTGACTAAATTTGCGAAATAACATTTTTTGTGAGGGGAATCTACGAAAAGCCTCCTAATTATAAATGAAATGTTTTCTCGAGGATTGTTCACACTTATTTAAATAAAGTCAAATGAATAAAATGATCATAATTTAAATATATTTTCAAGTTTGTAATTTCCGATATTTAAACAATGTGTAATTGTTTAGGTACCAAAATTTGGACGATGGGGGTGTTAATCTTTCCCCACGCGTAACCGACTCCCGAACCTATTTTAATTGAATCTTTGGTGACGCATATAAGTTTTTTGTCTTAAAAACGATTTTTCTTAAAATTATTTTTTTTAAATACGCTTTTAGGTATTCAATTTAATTTAAAATCACCATTTTTTCCAAAATTAAAATCATAATTGTTTTTAAAACAATAAAATAATTGTTTTGCAAAAAAAAAATGGTTATAACAGGGATGTTAAGATCTGGGCTCATGTTTGCTTATTTAATTTCTCGGATGTCTTTAATTTTGGTTTACTTGATGATGTAAATGAGAAAACCATAGAATTTTTTCTTTTTGGATCATCAATTTTTAATTTAATCTTTGCTATTCTTTCAGCTGAAAACGAAAGTTTATCTTCATAAATAACATACTTGGATTAATGAGGCTCGATCTAATGGTGGTTATATGTTTCAATAATTTTTTTTCTTTTTTCCGGGTCTATTGCTTTGGCTGATTGGATGATCCGAATGACTTTTCCTTTGCAATCAGTTTCCCAAGAGTATTAGTAGAAGGGTATCAGATGAGAAGAAAACTTGTTTTGTTTGTAGTTTTGAGGATACTCGGTTTATCCATGTATTTTTGTGAGCTACAACTTGAAAGATGGTCACTCGATGGGCGTAAGTTGAAGTTGAAGGATTTTAGAGTAAGATGTATGCCACGTTTATTGTTGTAGTTGGCAGACGGTGTAAGAAAACGATTGCTTAATATCCTTTTTGAATCTTCTAATCGATATGTTTTTGTAATTATTGTTTTCAGATTGCATTGGTTCAGCATTCAATATAAAGGGTGCAATGCAATGCCCTAATTGTAGAAAATTTGAAAAAGGTCAATGGCTTTATGCCAACTGTAGCCGTTTGTACCCGGAATTTAGTGTGGATGAATTGACACATGATGAGGACCTTTATGATCTAAGTTTCTCTGAAATGGTATTGGAGTCTTTACATACTGTTTCAGCATTCATGGCATACCAAAAATGATGTGTTTAACCTTCTCATCCCATGCCTTCTCCCTATATCAGTTAGACCACTATCCCTTTCATTGATTTATGAATGGAATTTGACTTTTTAACACCAAAACCTTTTACTAAATCATTTCTAGGTTTGTTAAAGCTCGATAATTTCCATCTAAAGGAAAATTTCGCAGATAGTTTAAATTGCATTAGTCTCCACACACAGATTTGGAAATCTATACAATCATGTCTCAAATGGTAGTTTTTGTTGTTTGCTTCCTTTGGCACTTTATTGTGTACACTTTAGGATGACAGATGAGTTGAATTGAAATCTATTTACTGCTTACTTGTTTTGGCTTTTTATTTTGTTTGTAGTCATTCGGAGTCCATTGGTGTCCATTTGGAAGTTTAGCACGACTTCCTTCATCATTTGAGTAAGCATTACCTCTCATATTACAATCTGAGTAGCTTTCTACCTTCAAGTTTTATGCTGAGATGTGTTGGTCAGTTGTCTTTTTTTCTCATCAAATGTTCGTCGCCTTACACTTTTGTGTATTTTTAGGGTCAATCTTTGTTATAAATAACCACAGAAGAAGACACAGAATTGTCATCTTCTTAGTTAGAAACTGATTTATGAAATTGAAGAAAAACATTAATCCTGTGCTTATAATTGTGGTGCCACTGCAATGGAATTCAAGCAAGTCATAGATGTGACTCTATTGAAATTATTGTACAATTTTAAGACGGCCCAGATTCTGCAAGTTATATCTAGAGACCCAACATTTAATTGTATCTTGATCGTTTGTCTGTCAATTGCAAATTGGTTCTGCATGAGATACATGAGCAAAATGGCTAAAATTTTATAGGTATTAGGCACCAGATCGGTTCTTTGCACTAGAAGATTTTCCTAAACTTAAATTAATGGAGCAAAGCATCTTGACTTAACCACAGCTTATTGTTTATTTCTATGGAAGGAACAATATGCTCAGTATTCTCTCTGTCAGGAATGCCATTTTTTAAGTCTATTATCGTCAACTCTTCCTTAGTGAAACATACCATTTTCATACTTTTGGCTTATCAAGACATTTTTGTTTGCTTAGTTTTCTTGCCAAGGTCAAGTTTCAATTATTTTCTTTCCCTAACATGTCCTGATTTTGTTATTTTTTTCAGGCAAGGAGAGTTTCCCTCAACATGTAAGACATTTTTTTTTTTTCTCAAGTAATGTTTGTTTATGGATTTTATAGTGAAAATACTTGGTATGTTGATGAGATATATTGGAATGCAGATCACGAGTTACCGGGACAACATGCTATCTTCACAGAACATTCATTATCTGCTACTCATCCACGTCCATATTTAGCTTACTTCGGGCCAATGATTCTTCCCTCGTCCTCAAATTCCAGTGGAAGTGTTTCAGATAGTTCTAGTTTCAATGATCACTGGAATGGTCCATCAGTGCCTAGTGAGATACCTACCTCTTATGCTTTTCCAGCAATGGATCTCCGTTATCATAGTTGGGAGCACCATTCCCCTCCATTCTCAACATCTACCCGTTGAATTGGTAGTTCTGATCAACCTTCAATTCCACCTTTCAGTCAAAGGCTAGCCAGGAATGGTTCGGACATGCCAAGATCGGGGTCTTTTATGCATCCATTTGTTGTTGGCCACAGGTATGGCTCAACATAATTGACTTAGATTATTCGATTTAGTTCTCTTTTATGCATCCATTTATTATTCTTTTCTGTTCAGCATCCATTTTCCAGATGCAAGCAATGATTCCTCACATAAACACCTCTCTCTCCCCACCTCTCCCCTCCCCTAGTAGAGGACTAGAATCAGGCATTGCAGAAACATAAGAGCTTGATTTTATTGTCTGTTGCTTCATTTTTTAGAATAAAATATCATTCCGAAATATAAAATATTGACAGTTGCATTTTCTAATCATATATATATCAAACGGATTATGTTTTTCACAGTTCTGGTGCTAGAGCAGCAAGTGTGGTTCCTTCCTCGTTTATACCTGCTTACTCTGGCAATGCTTGGGCCCGTGAAAGAGTTCAAGCACTCCAGGCATACTATCAACACCATCACCCTAGCATTTTGCCAGCATTACGGACACCCTGTATTTCTGGCTCCCGTAGGTCAGGCAGCCATAGAAATCAGGCTTATGTTGGTCCTGTGGCCTCATCGTCTGACCATACAGGTGGCTTCTATTTCATTGCATCAGGTACTTCCGGCAGTCATAACTTTCAAGAGCCAGAAAACCCAGTGTCAGCACACTTCCACGCTTGGGAAAGAGATTAGTCGTCTTCATTTTCACCAAATCAAGTTGACAGAGATTCAGGTTGGGTTTCATTCCATGAGGCTGCAACCAGCGGTTCAGATCGTGGCATAAGACCAAGCATCTTCCGCCAAAGGCACGGATCCGAGTCGCAAAGGCGTTCATAGTGATTTCTTCCTTTATGCCCACCTCTTGGGTAAAGCGAACGATATCTACCATGAATGAAACCATATGTTATGGATTCTTAGAGACTGATGTGCGAATGCTCGAGTCTGTCAATCCAGACAGGCTGAAAGACTGTGTTAGTGGCCCAAAAACAATTTGGTAGCCATGTTGGTGTGCTGTACCCGCTTTATCTACTTCGGCTTTAAGGTTTAAAGGTAGCGGTGGGGGAACATGTTATTTAAGAAAAGTGGTATTTAAGCTTAATGTATGCCTTAAAAATCTCAACTCCAAATGTTATTTTATAATGTTTTAATGCTTTAAACATCTCATCCATAATTCAAATGTGTTATTTTACAATCAAACTTTTATTTAAAGATTTACAAAAATATGAAAATGATAAAAAATATGCTTATAGTGATAATTATGATTTAATAGAAAAAATAATTTTATTATTTCCAAATTAAGATGGTATTCAATTAACATGCAATACTTAGTCGAACACTTTATAATAAGTATAGACAGATGTACAACTCATAAATCAGAAGATCCTAGATAACTACATATATTCGAATATGTTACAATAATAATTATATCCATTAAATTAATTATATTTTTAAATGTAACTTGCAACAATATCAACAACATAACAATATGGTATTCAATGTGTTGTTTTATGTATTACGTTAATTTTATGATATTAAATATTCATATACATAATAAACTTTTGTCATGTTTAGTTTAAACTAAAGACTTAAATGAGGATAATGTTTTCTACTACCACTAAAATCATTCATTTGGCGAATTTTATAGTTTTATCGAGATTACTTGATGAATTTTGTTTTTAAATAATTTTTTTTTAGGTGTTTTAATACAATACAGGGAATAATATCTACATGGGGACTAAAACCACACACATTAAAGCTCCACCTTTGAACAAAAAATAAATACATTTCTCTCTCTCTCTCCTAATAAGAAAACTGGGGTCCAACACGCAACCTCCAACGTGCAATTTCTCCATCACACCTCTGCTGGTGCCTGTGTTTGCCCATTGCCAAAAGCTAAGGTCTCGTCCCCCACTACCATTCAATCTTTCACACCACATCACTCCCTTTCCTCCATTTCCATTTTCCAAATTCCACACTCTGGGATTAATCCTGCAGTTGATGCACCCGGATATTGATAACGGGCCGCATTCCTGTTTTCGATTAAATTAATAGCGGTTGATAATATTTAGACTAACTACAAGATAGTATTTGTTTGTAATTTTTTTAATGAACTGACAATATATACATCCTACAAACACAATTGTTTGAATCCGAAATTTGATAACAATATTTCTTTTTATGAGATAATGTCTAGATTTAAATTTCAGTGGTATACATACTTAAAAACACCGTCAGATCATCAAGTAAAGGGAATTGTTAATGAAGAAATTTCACTTATATGCACGTCAGGTTTCATGTCTTCTTTTTTACATTTACGCTTATTTTAATACTAAATAATTTCACACGTTAAGTATCTGAACATGAATTTATGAAAAAGAGGGTTCCAGGTAGAGAGAAAAGGACCTTTCTTTCTACCGGTGTCTCCCATGCAATGCCAAAAGCAGCAAATTAAACTCGAGTTTTGACAGTGAGTTAAACAGACAAGACGTGATCTTTTTATTATTTAACCACAGATTTGAAGACCCAAGTTTAGGCTAACAAGCTAAATGATGACGAGATCGAGAATTTTAAAGTTTCAATATGGATTTGTGATGACATGATGAGCAGATTACAAAACCCAGAAAGGATAAGATTTTACTGGGAGTTATGTCAAATTCAAGGTCATATCTGTTTAAAAAAAATGAAGGAACCCATCATTTTTCAAGACCATTTTCATTGCATTGGAAATTCCAACTAGTGAAGGACCCCACAGCTTTGATGATGATGATAATGGCGAGTGCTTGGACTTGGTTTGTATCATTCTTTCATATTGAAATTCCCAGAATTCAAATATACAAATCAATTGGATTAAAAAATCTCTAATTTGCATTTTTCAAACAGATATCATGTCAGAATGCCCACTTATAGACTGAATCTCGGTAACTCGTCTTAAACCTTTCTCTCTCTCTCTCTCTCTCTCTCTCTCTGAGATATTTGTTTATAAATGCATGGCACTTCCTTTGTTTTCTTCACTCAACTCGTAGATTTAAATCAATTTCTTCAATGGCTTTTCATGGTTGCAGGTGAGTAACTCTTGCTGGAGAAGCAGGGCACGTGCAAGTTTCCATGTTTAGCAATCATGCCAGGGTATTTTTTTACATACTATTCTAAGTGAACTTTGCACGTGCTCCCCTTCTCCACCATGAGTTCCTCAGCTTTTCTGTTTCGTCTCTCTCACTCTCATTGGTGATTTGCATTTGCAAGTTCAACTCACTTCTGAAATATTACAGATGATCAATACCAATGGTAAGATATCATACACACACACACACATATGTATATGCATAGATTTGTCTTCATTAACTTTGTTTATTTTTCACATCCCTCCCTTCAACTTAGTTTCTCTCTTCACTTGCAACGACAAATTCTTCTTGTTTTTCGCATTTGTAGATCTATCTGCAATATCTCAAGGTTTCCTGGACCATAAATGCAAACAATTCAATGTTGGTATATATATAAACACACACAACGTTAGTTCCATGTCATTTTAAACTTGAATAAACTTAAACTTTTGTCCCATCTACTTTTTTAGATTAAATATCTAATAAATCTTTGTTATTTTGAACTTAAGTAATTTGTTACTGTCAATATTTAATTTTAATTCGGTTTTCTGGTTATTATGTCACGCACCATGCTTGCACTGGCAAGAAGCATTTCATCATCAGGTAGCAGGGTAGATAGTCTGATAAAATGCAGGTTTTGCACTTATATGAACGCATAGCCTTGTATATTATGAGATGAGTGAAAGATTAATGTAATTTACTTTAAAAGAAGAAATGAGTGTGGGGTTTTGATCAATACAACGTGGTAATGATGCAAAGAGATTGTACTTTGCGTGGTAGACTTGGGGAAGAGTACTGTACGGAGCATATGAAGAAGGATTGATGGTGAAGAGAAAAATACACACACGGACGCTCGGTTAGACAGTCACTATTGTCAAAGAGAAAGCAAAGCAAAGATGGCGTGAGTAGTTTTACAAAAATGGCAGTCAAAATGAATGTATATTTTAGTAAGCAAAAAGGCAGCACCTGGGCTTCTTTCACTTTGCCTTAAAAACTGGGAGGAATCCTGCTTAGATTTTACCACCCTTGGTTCTGGTTAAGAGCCAAATGAGTGTTGGGAATCGAAATAAGATAGAAATAGGTAGAGAATTGAAGATTTTGTTGCAGAACCTTAAAATGCAAGCGATGTGTGAGAACATGAAATGATGAAAAGCTTTGTGGGGTGTACTATTCGGACACGCAATGCACACAATTCGAAGCTTCTGCAAAAATAAACCAGACAATGATTTTGTCACATGCTAAAGGTCTTGTTTTGGGGGGGTCCAGAAACATGGCAGCGAATTTCTTTAAAACACACTGAATCGATTCGTCTCTTTTGATTTCTTGTTCTGCAAGTGCTATTGTAATTTTTGTTGCAGGTTCTGAATTTCCTTCTGCATGATTGCTCACTCTCACAAATGCACCTTGTTTTCCTTTTAATTAATGGACCTTACTTAAAACCATAACAAAGATTGTATTCCAACTCGCAAAACAAAAGTTGTTATGAGATACACAAGGAAAAACATATATATTAATAACATAAAAAGATTTATAAGATGAACATAAATAAACAATAAGATGTATCGTTATAATATTATAGAAGAATTGTTAAGAGACAAGAGCAAAAGTTATGTAATGTTTGAAGCTTTCGGGCAATGGTACTAAAGCGTAGTTACGGTATCTATTACATGATGTCTTGATTATAGATGTTACAGATTTATGTAATCGTATAATGATTATTATTAATGTTATTTGTCTGTCAAAACTTACAGTATTTTTAAAACTAATTTATTTTAAATATTTTATAATTATATTTTAATACTAATGTATTTTTTTATGTATTTTATGTTAAAAAATTAAATTTGATAGATAAAACTTTCACTGAAAATAAATATGAACTATAGACATAATAATAGTGATCATAATTTTAATGTATAATATATAAATAATCTTATATTAAAAATATATAAGTATATTATGATGTTACGGTATAATCTATTATTATGTAACAATTTTAAACCACAAACATTATGATATAATTTTCTCGTCACGTTGAATTGATATTGTATCGTAATGACTTTTAAAATCGTAACGATATATTATATTAAAAACTAAATTCATGTTTTTTATAATACGTGGACTGGTAGAACAGTTCGACCATTTATTTTTGTGTAGAAAATATAGGCGGCAATTTTTTTCCACGTTTATTTGATGCCGAGAATCATTGTTGTACAAGTTTTGGATGCATTTTCCTTTAAATTTAGTGGAACTACCTTCATCCTGCGTATTTTGTTGGCTTAAATAGACCCTTGTTTTTTTAAAATTTTATTTCTTAAAGTATATTTCAAATTTGTTTCAAATCATTAATTCTTTTAAAAATAAAGATAAATTATATATTTAATCACTCAAATATTCTCGTAGTTCCTTTTTAATCACCTAATTTGTTCTTTTTTATTTTCAGGTTTTTTTGGGTTTTGGTCACCACTTATTCTATGAAATTGCTTACAAAACTTTGATCATGATCATATTTATGATTGCTCAAACACCAGCATTGATGGCACCGGCGCCATTCACTGTCATAACAAGTAACCCATCTGGATTGATGGCTCCATAGAAGGTCCACAAGCTAGTGTTCGAAAGGGTCGTTATGTAGGGTTCGCCTTTATAATTCTCTGTTGATTTCTTCTTTATCACCCCCAAAAGGTTTTCTGGGGGGAAAACAACTTTTTTAAAAAACTTTTCATGTTATTCCATTTTTTTTGTGGGTGAATATTTTAGATGATTTTACTCACATGGGAGAAACAAAAACCAGTAGGGAAATTACATTACCGGCAAAAAGTAGACTCAAAATCTTGCATTTTGGTTAAAGATTGAAGTTCAGAAATACATACAAAAAAATGTGAGAAAATAGGGCTAACCGATAATGCCAAGGATGAAGCTCCAGTTAGCCATTGAAGCAGAGGTCATAGTCTAAGGAATGAAGCAATGGGAATCAATTGATAAAGCTGGGATATTTGTGTTGTGTGATGAGTAAATCAAGGTGGGAATTCAAACTTTATATTCACGAAAATAATTCCATACACTTATAGTGGGAAAATTTATTCTACAAATGGGATTTTAATATTGTATGTATTTTATTTATGATTTATGAATTTACTGTTTAGAATTTATGGGCCAGAGTTTAAGGTCTAAGATTAACATTTTAAGTTATTTAAATAGACATAAAAGAACTCATCAAGTAACCTCAATGATTAAATGAAGTGTTATTCTCTCTAGAAGTATTGAGTTCGAGCAACAATATCGGCAAAGTGTATGTGAATTCATCGTTGTTGAGTGAATTCCAAACAAATATTATCGTATAATCTCCCCATACTAATAAAAAAATAACAATCCATATATATATATATATATATTAACCCATATTTAATTCACATGTTATGTTCCCAAATTCTTGTCCTAATATGTAGTAGTTGATGTAATAAAAATATGTACCATCTTCTGGCAACAATGATCAAGTCATTCCCTTTTTATTCTACTTCCATTTTAGGTTTCGTTTTTCATTTCCATTCCAATGTAAGTCCATTTTCAAAGGCTACAAAATTAGGAGATTCGTTATATTATATGTTATACTCTGACATAATAAAACAATACCATAACATGGCAAAGTTCACATAATACTTCCGATAGAAACTATAATATATAAAAAGAACATAAATACGAAAGAATTCGATATCAATCATACTTCTTAACTTGGTAAGTTGATGACTTATCCCAAAACAAACTGCCGTGGCCGAATTACATGGCTTGCCCCTTAACTGTTGGTTCAATATGAGTTTTAACTCTTAATTAGCTCTTTGAGGGATTCACACAAAATTTGATCACAAAATTTGATCATTCTTCAATCAAATTTTGTATCTTAATTCACTCCATGTCAATACCCGAATTTTGTTTTACACTAAAATTATGGTAATAATCCACAAACTTTATAATTTTTAATAAGCTAAATCCTGGACTTCATATGATACAAAATACAAGGCGTTTAATATACCTACTCTTCGTACTTAAGAGTTCGATACATTTGTGCCGCCTCCCTCATTTTTTTTTTTGTTTTTATTTAGCCGAAAACAATATTAATCCCAATATTAGTTATCGATCGTCGGTGATTATTCATTCTCTTATTTTTTTTCATATTATATCATTTGTTTTCCTTTTTTCATGAGTTTTTTTTTCAATTTTAAATAAGAATTTTGTCCTTATGACACACTTTTCTATGCTCTTGTAGCACATGTTTTTTATGTTCTTGTGACACGATCCTTATAACTTTTGGTACATTTTTCGCATACTTTTACAATCATTTTGATGGTCGCACAGAGACTCTCATGATATTTGTTTTCTAATTGATTTGTCGGTGGTCACGTTTAGTCAAATTCCCTCTTTAATAAAAGGTTGTTTGCCGATATAATCAGAATTGCATAGTGAAGCATCCTACCAAATAGTTTGGTTTGCCCACTACTCCTTTATAACTTCGTAAAGCGTCTCGTTCGACAGACATAGTTTTTATAAAGGTTATTGGGTTCTTTTGATGTTGATCGTCATTCTCAATGAAATATTTGTTTTTCTTCGTATCTTTGATTTAATATTTTTTTGTATGAGTTTTTTGTAACTATTATCCCCATTTATCTTTATGTTTGACTACTTGATAATTTTGACTCATTTCATTGTTTTGTTAATGGGTAAACTATTAGAATTGTGTAGCGCCTACTAAATAGTTTGATTCTCTCGCCACTCTTATATCACTTTGTATAGCGCATCATTCGACATAGGCAAAAAAAATTATGAATGTTACTGGGTTCTTTTGATATTGATCGTCATTCTCAAGGGAATGTTTCAATTTTCTTCATATTTTTGGTTTAATATTTTTGTTTTTGTATGAGTTTTTGGTGATTATGGTCCCTATTTATCTTTATGTTTGAGTGTTTTATAATTTTGACTCATTCCATTGTTTTATTAATGAAATCTAGTTGCCGTTATATAAAAAAAAAGAGTTATAAACATTTAATAATGGGTAAACTATACAATTGGTCTCTAAAGTTTAAGTAAGTTTTCATTTTGCTCACTAAACTTTCAAAAGTTACAAGTTGGTCATTAATGTTATCGATTTGTAACAAAATTGTCGCTCAACTTTGAAAGTCGTTAACCTTAGTGACAGAAAGCTGAGTTGGACCGTTAAATGCTTATCTAGATCATCGAGCGCCATGTTGGAGAGCACCATGCTTAATAATGGATAAACTATAGGAAAGGTTTCCATTTTTTTGTTTGTTGCTTTTTGTATCTTTTGGTTTGTTTGATCAAGTAAAATAGATGCATTGGACTCCCTTTGCTTTAATAATACTGTAACTTATTGTTTACTTTGTTCTTGCAGTAACAATATCAATCTCTCATGAAGTGGTGAAGAAGAAGACAATGTTGATGGATTTTGACAGTTTGACAGCCAAGTCGGATGATTTAACCCTCCACATCACCATCTCCTTATCTTAGTAGCATTTGGTAACAGATGTTAACATCAAATGATCATTTTAAAAAAAAAAGTTTAGTAGGAAAAACAAAAATATACTCAAACTATAGTTTACCTTTCAATAATTTATAATGTGTTTATATGTTTTCACATAATTGATAAGATAGTATAAATATACGGATCTTGTATATTGATTTCAAGGAATGATTAAAACCCATAATATTTATCTTTCTCATAATAGATGTCAAGAAAATAAAAGGAAAAAATTAGTTTCAATTTCGAAATTAAGAATTCCGACTGAAAACATATTGCAATGATAATAGAAAGGAATTTTAAGAATTAATATGCTATCGAGATTATTGTAACTTTAGTAATATTTTTTTAATAGAAGTCGTTAATTTTAATAAAATTAGAAAATATTTAAATTACAATTAAGGATTAGAACCAAAATCGTAAACTAAACATATAATAAGAACATTTTTCTAAACACAAAAACTAGTCATTTAGGATCACACATGGACCATACAAAGAAAATGTTAAAAAACTTAATCAAATAAACTCGAACAAAAGGTAGATACGAACAGATCTGATTACATCGGTAAACGAACCCCAAAAGAGATAAAACTATTGAAAGACCACCGAAAAACTGTAAATCATAATCGAGCACTGTAAAATACTATCCACGAACACAAATCGCGTATTCAAATTCAAATGAGGGTCCAAAGCATGGAAGATCATATGATAATAAATAAGCGACATATTGATCAATTGTGGTGATGTCAAATTCAACCCTGAAAAAAACGAAAACAACGGTCAAACAATCGAAAACGTGTCATAAAGGCAGAATTATTAAAAGTAAAAAACAAACAAAGATACACTATAATAAAGGAAATGAAAAACAATGAATATCAACGGTTGACGACAAACACCCAACCTGATGCCATCGTCGATCAGAAAGATAACTTTAGTAATATAATTAACACTAAAAGGTATTTTTTATTAAAATATTTTTAAAATTCATGTTTTTATACAAATTATTATAAATATTTAGTTATTAAAACTATTCATTTGGTGGTCTTAGAGGTAAAAGAGTTTTATTATTTCTAAAATTTTCAGATTCAAACAAATAGATCTATAAGACGTGTGCATATTGTTAATTATTAAAAAAAAAATCTTAAAAAGTAATATTTTATAATTACTTTAAATTATTAAAAAACTACTATATCAAAGTAAGCGTTGCAGGTTATTGCTGGGTTCAGATATACTAATGAATGGCCTCAATTATAACCCAAGCCCATGTAAACTCACGTGGTAATTGCAACGAATGTCTTGAAAATATTAAATATAATACTTTGTTAATATTTATACGAAATCTGTGAACTTTATTACACGAACTTTTTGCTTACCAGACTTAGTGAACTTTATTACATGAACTGTCACGTATGTATAGTAATATATATTATTACAACACACAATCATTTAATATATAATTGACACATCCTTTCTTATATTCACTTATGTTCTGTATTTTTAATTTGATTATTGTTATTAATGTCTTGATTTGGGAGTTAAAGCGATGTAGAATGCACTGAATTGTTATTTTTGGTAATTAAAAAACTGAGCATAATGCAAATTAATTACTTACTGTTATCATATCTTCTAATCTTCGACTAATCAATTAATTAGTTGGGAATAATTCTTATGGTAAACAACTCTTTCTTTTCTGATTCAAAATATGGACAAAGCTTTTAGTCTCATTTCCCTTTAATGCATTTGCTTCTATCAATATTCCATCATAAATTTCAAAGATACACTTTGGAACCCAAATCCATCAATAAATAGAACAAACATCTTTCATCTTTTTCAATACCATTCCATGGAAACCTTGTGTGTCAAACTACCATGTTCTTCAGATACTTCAAGCATCTCAGCCACCTCGGAGGATGAAACTCAAAACAACTCCGGCGAAGGCGAAAACACGACGATGACCGCCGCCTCCAAACTGAAAGAGAAGGTGTTCGTTAACGTCCAACGGTTTCATGAGCAACCGAAATCAGGGTTTCGTCTTTCACTGAATGACAAGTTCTCCGAAGATGAATCGGTCGAACTCAAGCTTTCTTCGTCGAAGCCGCAGTCCTCGAAAGCTAGGGCATTCACGTGTGGTTTCTGCAGCAAGGAGTTCTCGACGTCTCAGGCGTTGGGAGGGCATCAGAACGCGCATAAACAGGAACGGGCGATCGCCAAGAGACGTAAAGAGACCGACTTAGGGGTTTTGGGACCTTTGGGTCATGCTCAATATCCTTATTACTCGTATTCGAGCCTGTCTCCAGTCTCTTTGTATGGATCTTTTAATAGGTCTCTTGGGATACGGATGGATTCTTCTTCCATGATATTTCAAAGGCCTGCAACAGTTCCGGGTTATCAATGGAACTCACTCGGCTATCGTTTCGGTCATGGCGGCATCGTGATGGATAGTTTCCAGGCTCAAAAAAGCAGCGGCTCGACGACTACATCTATGTCCATGGCTGCAGCTTCGAGTGTTGGAAAAGCAAAAATACCGATGACAAGCAATCTTCATATACCAAAAAGTGAGGATGATGATTCCGGGCTTGATTTGTCTCTTAAGCTTTAAAAATTTGTTTTTTTTTCATTCTAATAATGATAAATATTAGATTTAACAACTTTCATTTCCATATGGAAGTAAAAAAAATGATATTTTATGTGTCTTTTTCTCTCTCTCAAATTTGGTGTGTAATTTGAAATAAACTCTCATATGCTTTTTTTAACCATATATTTTGTTTTTGTGCTTTTCTTATCTTTCATAAATAAATACATTTAAAATTAATTTATTAATTTAATTAGGGCATTAGATAATATTTCTTAATCAACTTTGATAGAATAGTTCAGATACATCTAATTGTTTTCCAACATAACATTATAAAAAAAAGTAACAGAAAAATATTTTTAAATTAATATAATTCATATTCAAATTCAATACTTTAACTATTTATTTACTCGTGAATATATTTTTACTGATAATTATTATATACACGGATAATATAAAAAAAACACATCACAAATAGATTGTTATGTTGTTACGTATCCTTTAATTATATTAAAAAATAAAGAAGTAAGTAAACACAATAATATCATAATTCCGATTATAAAATATATTTTTATTCCACTAATGTATAAAATAATAATTCATATTGTAACAAAAATATCATATTTTTATTCATAAATATGGTTAGTAAGTATACTATATGTCTATTTTAATTTGGAGTTTTTATGCTTTGCAAGTTTTAAATGAAAAAAAGAAAAAAGAATCACTAGTGGTGATTTATTTCTTGTTTTGCATTAATGTTTTGGAAGGGATATTGACCTGTCTAGGATTTAATTATACAGCTAGCTTTTATATGGTTTCTCATTTATATTGTCGTTGTACACCTATATATATATATATATATATATATTTGTATAATTATCAATATCCAATTTAATAATTTATTAATTGATTAATCCGGATTAAGTATTATAAAGGCGATGATAATCATCCCGACCTAATTCAAAGTGAAAATTTTATTATTATTGTACACAAATGAATTTATACAACCATTTAAAACGAGCTCTTCACGAGTCTAAAATCAAATAACAACTAATAATGAAGCTGCCAGATATCTGATCTTGACATAAAAATACATATAATCAATCATTCCCATCACTAAAAAATTAGCATATAAAACTATTCATATAAATAAAAAATCATTTAATTCGTCAGTCCTACAATGAACTTGACTCCGGTTGCCGGCAACCACGATCGGCCGTTAAGGAACCTTCCAACAGTGAAGTACCCTGCGGTGGAAGCATCTCTGATAATGTGGTAACCAGGCCATCTAACCCGTCCAGATAACGAAGAACCAGGGCCATAGTTCCTATACTCGCCATACCAGAGTGTGGTCAAGGCAAAGTTCCCGTACCACTCGAGCCACCCTCTAGGCTGCACCAGGCCACTCATATAACAGTTCAGAAAAACCGTCCTCGAATACGGCTTCCACGGCCTCCCTAGATAAGTCGGTTGAGTAGCTAGAATGTAACTGTTCTGGATCGAAAACCCGGTGTTTTGGTTCGGGTTTTTCCGTCCCTGAGCGGTGATCGTTACCTTCTGAAGCGGTAAAGGGACTCGAGTGAATATCTTGCAGTTCTGGAGAACAGCTGCACCGTTGCCGAAGATGAAGTCTATGGTGCCATAAATGTTGCATTCACGGTAGAACTGGCGGAGGGAGTGGATGTAGAGGGTGTCCTGATAGCCTTCAATGCTGCATCGAAAGAAAGCCGATTGATCGGAATCCACACGGAGAGCGACGGCCTGGTGGTTCCCCGGTCCGGCCGTGTTTCGAAACGTTATGTCTCTTGCTATGAATCCCTTTCCAGAGACAGCTGCAAGAATCAAACCGGTGAAATTTGTGAAAAAGATCAAAGCAGAAGGAATATATTACGAAATGAAGCGTGTGCATTCAAAAATGGAATCTCACTTTATAAATTAAATACTTCATTCAGTATTGTTGATATAATTTTGCTAATTCAATGTTTGAATACCATTAAAAATGAATCGAATTTGTTAAATTGCAGATAATTAGTATGGTACGTACCAACGGTTGCAGTTCGAAATGTGGTCCATCCTTGCAAGAAATTCCGGTTCCCTGTCACAATAGTTTGTCCAATTCCATCTCCGACAAGCATAATATTGGTCTTCTTCTTCTTCATGTCAATGTTCTCCTTGTAGACACCCTTCTTCACATAAATGACGTACCTCCTGTTACTATAACTCGGAGCTTCCTCGACGGCATCAGTAATCGTCGAATAACGTCCACTCCCATCTAATGACACGACGGCATCCGCTTGCATGTGACGTGAATGAGTCCGTAGAAGCTCTTGATCACCGTCAGTCATCCATTCTGGAAATTCGGAGCTCGCATTGGTGGAAGTCATATTGCGAGGCGGTCGGAACGGCAAGCTATGCAACTGAGTGTACAATGCCAAAACATTGCCGATGAGTTGCGTAACTTGTTTCACGCTGCCTCGGATGAAGGTCTCGAGGTGTCGGTCCGTTCCCTCGAAGCCTTCGAGGCACGTATCTTGGTTACTCAACGCAGCGCTTAACCAAGCCTTGGGATTCCCTTCGTATTCAGCACTTGTACCACCGTCACGAATCTTTCTCATCTCTGCTAAAGACCAGGCCAGTTCGGACACAGAGAAATCGAGGAGTTCCTTGCAATCCTCGATGGCCATCTGTTCGCGATAACTCGAGGACAGACCAGTGAACCTCGTCATGGTGTCAATGGTTCGTCTTGCTTCATCAAGCGTGGTCCTCAATGCAGCATGCAAGACCGACGATGGTGTTTGAGGCCCTAAGTTTTGAAGTTCGGTTTGAATATTTGAGAGGCATAGATCATCGTTATCAACTCCCGTACAGGCCTGTGATATCAATGTTGAGTGTTTAAGCTCTGGTTAAAGTCCGGCAAAGCTTGGAATGAAGGTAACAGTAAGAACATGGTAAGAAGAAAATTGGCAAAGGCCATTTTCTTAGGAGAGAAAGCTGCAGGTATGGGTATTTGTTGGGGGGAAGGTTTACCGAGGATGTGGAATTTTATATGCAAAAGAATGGAGGGATTGTTTATTTAGTAAGAAAGGAGATGTCGAATGAGTTATGAAGTGAGGTTCGTTTTATGCTTTTTCCCCTGACCAAGTTATGCTTTCCATCCCTATCATTTTTCGCCATTTGGCGCTTGCTGCTCAAGATGGGCGCTGTTATTTTTACACCGCCTATTATAACAAGCACCAAGTTCAAGCCACTCGCCGCACAATTCAGTGAAGCATCTACCGAGGGCTTGGGCTTTGGAACTACTAGGCCTGCTTATCGGTTTATCGATAACTAATTCATAATTCGGAGGTCCCCTACGGAAGCTGCTTTCAATCTGGTGTTGAAATAGTCTACTATACTACCTCCCCTTATCCCATTACATATGAGAATAAAGATCAGCTTTTTTTTTAATTAATACCCAAGCCTATAGGAACACCAGCTTAATTATAATATATATTTTAAATAATTTAAAAATGATAAAAAAAAATTCAAAATTTTTTCTAAAATGAGAAACATATATAGTATGGAAATAATAGAGAATTGCTCAGATTGTGTTGATCTATCCCAGACCTAAAAAGGTCTCATAATGAGCTGGGATTATACATCTATCATCATCCACAACATCAACAAATTTTTAAGAAAATAATAATAATTGGGTAATCAAAAGGCGATAAAAACTCCTCAAAAACAAGTTAAATCTTCGTTAACACACGCGCACACACAGAAGACATGAAGATTGGAGATAAGAAGAAGAATAGCGTAAGCCATACGAGAACGAAGATTTAAAGGGTGAAAATGAGGCGGTTTAAGGTCTAATTTTTTATAAATACCCACTGTCGTTTGCTTTAATAGCAATTGTACCCCAAAAATTTTGAGTCACAAAGCCCGGAATATTTTGGGGCAAACTCATGAAATCATAATCCAATTAACGCCTATCCGACCTTTTCCTGTTTAATTATATTATTGCTGCTTTCCAATTTGGAATTAGTATAATTAAGCGATGGTCTACTTTTTGATTTAAATACTTTTTAAATCCTTGTTATTTTTTAGTGAACAATTTGATCCAATAATTATATCTTAGTTCTTATAAACTATTCAAACGTCTTAATCTTTACATTGGAAAATAATGTACATTTGAATGCGTTCAAACACATGTTTTATTGAATGTTACAATAACAAATATACTAATCGAATTAAATTTTTTATTAAAATTAAATTAACTATATAATTTTTTTTTTTGAAAATAAAGTACTTTGTATTAGAATTGATACAAAGTGACCATCCAAAGGGCCTCGTTAAAAAACCTCCCTAAACCTATACGGAGGAAAAAGAGTGTCCCTTTAGATGGGATAGAACCAAGTAACAGAATATAATACAACCTCAAAAACAGCCATTCATGGCAACGGACACCAAAAAAGCTATAAACCAGAACAACCAAACAGCAAAGATGTAATCAATGAGTATATAACTAAAGCCACTGGAGGAAACCATCTAAAAGCAACGCGAGACTGAGAAACAAACCAGATTTGAGATAAAGACCAAACATAAAAGCAGAACAAAATCAACAGAAAGCTTAGCAGCAGAAATCATAGATAACCCCGCCTGGCACCTAAGATTGCTTCAGGATTACAAACGAAATCGTTAACTACTGGAATCAACAATGGCCAAAGGTAATTCGCCCACACACCAATCTGAATCTTTACTCTGTGGAAAATCTGATCAGCCGACAGCAAAACCCCTTGAAATCTACGAAAATTTCTACACTTCCAAATAACCCACACCAGCCCAAAAAAACCAAGAATCCAAATATTTTGAAACTTCCTCCTTATTTTCTGAGAGAACCACACCTCCAGAAGTTGCTTAACATTTTCCGGAAACACTATATAGACATTCCACACTCTACACCATCGTTGCCAAACAACCCAAATTTCGGCACAATGACAAAGGACGTGGTTAATGGCTTCCATCTCACGATTACAGAACAAACAATTTACCTGGTCAGAACAGTTCACTCCTCTTTTCTCCAGTTCTAACATAACCGGCAGTCTAAAATGGACTGCTTTCCACACTAAAGCCGAAACCTTTTTAGGAACAAACTTAAACCAAACCATTTTCCACACTGGGTCAGCCGGAGTATCATCACAAGCCATTTTTAAACAATAAGATTTCGGAGTAAAGTTATCATCCTGCGCTCCAAACCAGCTAATTCTATCAACGCTCTGATTGTGAGAAACCGATCTATCCAAAACATTAAGAAATTCTCACCAGATTGGCTTTTCCCAATCAAATAATACTATTCTCAATTCAATCCTCCATTCCCATAAACCAAGAACCCAACACCCGAAATCCTTAATCTTTCCGCATTTTTTGACTGCTATACTAAAAATTCTCGGAAATGAATTCTTCAGAGAAGCTAAATCTGTCCAAAATTCAATTTTTTTTCCATCACCCATGACATATCTCAAGTCAACAGCAAAATCTAACTGGTTGATAATATTACGCCAAATCCAGGAATGATTTCTGATATTCACAGCTTTAGGAATCAACGAATCTATGTCATAATTATACTTTGACACTACTATCTTCTTCCATAAACTATCTGATTCACTACTAAACCTCCAAATCCATTTGTTAAGCAAAGACCGATTTCGAATTTTTACATCAAAAATACCCAACCCCCCTGAAATTTTGGTCTACAAATTTTATCCCATTTAACCCAATGAATACTCCTAGCAGACTTTGAATTCCAAACAAAATTTGCTATGCATCTATTAATCTGCTCAGCAATTGACTTGGGCATAGGGAAAATAGACATATAAAACACAGACAAGTTAACAAGGACATAATTTATAAGAGTAAGCCTACCACCCAAAGAAAGCATTTTACCTTTCCAACTATGAAGCCTACCATTTACTTTGTCCACTATAGGCTGCCATATAGCTTTTGAGTTTTTCGGATAACCCAACGGAAGACCCAAGTACGTCGTAGGGAGCCTCGCCCAACCACAATGAATCAGATCAGCCCAATTCCTTACTCTATTTTCATCCACGTTGATGCCAAGTAACTTTGTTTTATCCAAATTCAGCTTCAACCCAGCAGCCAGTTCAAAAAATTTTAAAACCCGATTGAAATTTACAATCGATTCAGCTTTCAATTCGGAAAAGATGAGCAGATCATCAGCAAATTGAACATGAGATAAAACAGAACCACCAGACTCAACTTCCACTCCGCAGCAAATACCCAATGCCGTTGCCTTTTTAATCATACCACTAAGCGCCTCCCCAACTATGTTGAAGAGCAGCGGAGACAGAGGACAACCCTGCCTAAGACCCCTCTTGATTGAGAAGCTATTTGACGGACATCCATTGACAAGGACAACAATCGACGGGGTAGAAATGCATAATTTAATCCAATTTATTCATCTTCTGTCGAAACCCATTTTCTTAAGAATAAGGTTCAAAAACAACCAATCCACCGTATCATAAGCTTTGCTGAAATCGGCCTTGAATAACACTGCTTCTTTCTTACTTTTAAACAGCCCATCAATGACTTCATTGGCAATCAAACTACAATCGGCAATCTGTTTTCCAGCAATAAATGCAAACTGATTTTCTCCGATTACTTCAGCAAGACACCCGCTCATCCTCTTAGCCAACAATCGGGAAACAATCTTATACATGCTTCCGACCAAAGAAATTGGTCTGAAATCAGCTGGATGAATTGCATCAGATTTTTTCGGGATAAGCGCAATAAAGGATTTATTAAAAGACAAATCAGCTACTCTACCCCGATAAAAAGCCTCCATAAAATTCATTACTTCACCTTTAATGACCTTCCAGAATCTCTTAAAGAAATCCAGAGAAAACCCGTCCGGACCTGGCGCTCTTGAACCATCAGACGACTTAATAACGAACCAGACCTCCTCTTTCGAGAAAGGTCTCTCAATGAGGCTTCTCGAAGCATAATTAATTCTCTTGAAAGAGATGTCGAATCTCTTTAGAGGAATTGTTTTTACCTCATTATACCCAACAGAAAAATATTTAACAAAGGCTTGTTGAATTCCCACCTGATTCTTAATGCACATATTCTGAAATTTCAGCTTGTTAATCTGATTTTTCCGACCCCTACCAGTAGCCGTAAGATGGAAAAATTTAGTATTTTTATCGCCATCCTTAAACCACCTAAGCCTCGATTTTTGTAACCAATCTCGTTCTTCCTTTCTCTCGACAACCCAAAGCCTTGCCTTCAGCGAAACAATCTTCTGTTGTACTTGAAAATCACCAGGATCCGCCAACCAATTTCCTTCAAGAGAATCAATATTTTTTCCAATCTCTTCTGCAGAATCAGGAAACCGCTCTCTTACTTCTCTCTCTCTAAATTTTGTCGCATTCTTTGTCAGCAGCAGGATATTATCAATTCCTTCCCCTTTATTTACCTCACAAATAATTCTGATTCTTTCAGCCAAAATACAATCATCTGCCCAACAATTGAACCATTTGAAAGGTCTTTTAACCTTCCTAATCCTCTTCTCTCTCAACACAATTGGATTATGATCCGATAAGCCTCTCGGCAAGGAAAATTGAACCAATTGAGGACACAAGCTGAGAATTTCGAATGAAACCAGGAATCTATCAAGCCTACTTGCAACTAGATCGCCACCACCCTTAAACCATGTAAACAAAACTCCCTGATTAGGCACCTCAAACAACTGACAATCAGAAATAAAACCCTTAAAAATTCTCGACGCATCCGAATGAAAATGACACCCTAATCTTTCGGACACCCACCTTACAGAATTAAAATCCCCTCCCACTATCACGGGAACATTCATATTGGATATAAAAGAAAGCAACTGCTCGAAAAAAACACCTCTTTCTCCTTGTACATTCGGCCCATATACATTAATACAACCAAATTCCCTGTTATCCCCAACTACTCTACCCCTGAGAGGTATAAATCTTCTATGAATTGATATACTGCTTACATCCAACGACTCTCTGTCCCACAAAGAAATCAGCCCACCCGACGCTCCCTCCGTAGGAGCATAACCATCAATAAACTAGGGAAAAGATGGATTTTTTTACACATTTATCTCAATTGTGACACACAAGAAAAACTTTTTATGAACATCTTCGTCAGACAATTATTCTCTCTTTACCCTATCCTAGATATAAATTATTCAAAAATAAAATAAAAGATGCATTATTCCTCATGTAATGGATAAACGATATTGATTTGAAAAATACACTATATTATCATACATGTAGAGACCGAGTCAGAAAATTTAAATTATCGAATTGGATAAAATGATAATCATGAATTTATCTAATGTGTCGGATAAATGTCTGATGAAATACCAGATCTGGAAGTAGAGGAAGTTGCAGAATAAGCAAACAAAAGCAAGAGAATTAATTGAGTTAGTAAGAAGAGAACCTCAGGGGTATTTGATAACCTTTCTAAATTGCAACAACTAATTCTAATTTTACAAGCTTAACTAAGAAAAAAACAATACATAAGAGCCATAATCTTTGCTCAATTTACATTAACAACTCTACTGAAGTTGTAACAAAATCAACTTCATTCTAAGGGAGAAGAGTGGAAGAAGAGGCAGATGGCTGAAATATCATCTATTGCAATGCCTTTCCTCTTCTTTTTCCAAGCCTGGACAGCAAACTCGACCAGCCGCTTTGCTGCCTTCGCCTTGTCCAGTGTCGAACATACTATTTGAATCGCTTCCTGATTGGATACAACATCCCATACCTGAAGGAAAAGATTCAATCACATATCGAAAGCATTGTCATTTCATAAGCTTTGATCAAAGCCTTAGTATGTTATGTGTATGTGCATACCCCATCGGTAGCAAGAACAACAAATTGGTCTCTGCTGGTTATATGTCGCTGTGTGACTTCTGGATCCGAAATAAGCCCGTAATCTTTTATGCAGTAGTCCCCGAAAGCTCTCGACATTGCCAGCCCTGGTGACTCTTCATCAGGTAGCCAAACCCTGTGCACCCCTGGCTCGTCATGCATGCAGAAAACCCGACCTTTGCACTGAATTATCCGCTCCGCCTCCTCTGAAAGCAACATCAACTGAAAACATAAGGATCCTTTCTTTCGGGGGGTTTTCGACATTTTTAGAGTGTGTGGCCGAGAGCTCACGAGGTAAATTCGGCTTGAAATCTACAGTAAGCTGAACGGGAACCAAGTCTCCATCGTCTGATGTTGTAGCTAAAACAGCCCGAGAATCGCCTATGTTGGCTACATACATGAGGTCACCCTATCAAATATAAATGAGGAATTATTCTCAAAGATCAAGTAAATATTCCGCAATGCAGTCGAGTGTTCTAGTAATACTAAACTGAGTACCTGTCTGACAATTGTTAAGGCAGTCGTTCCACTGTAAAAGGAATCGATCCTCCTATGCTGCTCAAGCTCGTGATCGACTGCGGCACAAGTCTTTAGATAAGAATGCTTCCATATATGAAACCTCTTAAGCTTTTTATCGGATTCTAAATCAGTATCCGGGTCGAGCGATGCTTGAGCTAGAGTCTCTTGCCAATTGCAGAGCAAGGATGAAGGCAACGATTCTCGAACTTTTTTAGCTACAAAATGACCCCATGGACCATGCCCATCAAATATCCCACAAAACAACATGTCTGCTTGACATCCAAATTCCTATCCCCAAGCAAAAAAACAGGATGTAACATTTACAAGGCAAAACAATAATATCTACTTAGTAAAAGAACACACACATCATTTTACCTCCCACACAATGGCACAGTCCTGGTTCACTCCCTTCCTGCCTCTCTTGGAGAAAACCGTGGTGAAATTGTCTGAACCATCGATGTTTACCGAACCCGAAGACCTCAAAACCATGTCATTCTTCTTCGCATCCTTCGCCATTGCCTCGGCAGCCTCTCGTCCGTCATCGTTCCCGGAATTTTTCCCTCTCAACGACCTTGCTAATCCATTCAACATGGAGGAAAATTGCCTCATTTCCCTCTAGAATTCAATACCCACTACCAAAAAAAAAAAACAAAGACAAACTTTTTCTGTTGTTTTCCTTGTTGTAGATCCAAAGTCTGTCCATTTGAAAACAAGTACATATAGTCACAAAACTTTGCCTCATACACAGTACAAGGTTAAAAGCACATTGAACAATAGTAATAATGTTAGCCAGTAAAAGACATAATCTGACTCAGAAAGGTAGGGAATCTAACAATTTAATAACAGTAACAAAAATCAAAACTTTAATTCTAAATGGCTCTAACAGAGAATGTTCATTATGGCATAAGAATTCAAAAAACCTCCCCCATTAGGAAATTTGAAAGGAGCTAAACAAATACCAACTAGTAAATAGATAAACTCTTAACACTTCAGGCTTAGCTGGCTATACCCCATCACCTGCTGTTTGGTTGCCGAGAAAGTATAATGGGAAAGAAAGGGAAAGTAGAAATTTCGATATGTTAGTATGTTTGTAAGCACTGGGGCTGGTGGCAACTTGAAAAGTAAAAGATGGAAGTCTAGAGCTTACTAGAACTTCAAGTTAGTTGAAATTTCCCTTTATAGTAAAGGCAAAAGCTAAGCTAAAAGATAGAGCTTTCTGTTTTCCCTTAATTAGGATTCTCCAGAAAATCAAAGAAACACCCAGAAATATGTATTTCTCAGCAATCAAACAAGGCACAACAATCAAAAGAAGAAAACATCAAGATAAAACCCAACAAAAGTAGAGAAAAAAAAAAGGTGTGATTAGACCTCAAGAGTAAATGACTTGCTGAGTAGCTGATGCAAGCAACCAGAATGCAGTGACTTGATCTTTGCAAGGGAAGATGAGAAACTGATAGTTGAAATATAGAGATGGATCAGAGAAAATACCCATGGTCAAAAGAAATAATTTTTCCCTTGTTTTTGTCTGTTAGGGTCTGGGTTTTCTTTTTTACGCTTTGATTCTTTAGCTGTGAAGAAGAAAACAAAGGAACAACAACCTTCTTGTACGTGTAATTAACATGCAAACAACAAAACAAAACTTGCAATGACTTCCTTTCTTTTTCTTTTCTTTTGTGAGAATATAAAACTTATAAACTCAAGACTGTTTTTTCTTTTCCTTATCCGAACGGAAAAAACAGTGGCTTTTGCCGTTTGTGTTAAAGCTTTTATAACGTTCTTTTAGCTATCATTCTTTCTTTTTCCTTTTTTTTTTGCCGTTTTTAAACAAATTACTAATCTCTTGATTTTTTTTATGATATAAGTTTTGAACTTTTGGTTTATGTAAATACAGGTCATGATTTGGTGTGTTTTATTCGCATACAGTTCAAGATGAATTTTAACTGTGGAATCGTAGGGTTTGCATCCCTATTCTTTTGAATGAAGGGTTAATATTGGTTGGCCGAACGAGCCTGAATTCTTGCATTTAGGCCATCAAATGATCGAATTATTTCCTTATTTTCAATTAATGATAAATTAAATCAATAATTACGCAATTATTAGTTAACTTTTTCAGTTATTAAATTAAAATGATTTCTCAATCCAATTATGAATTCAAATAAATATTTTAATTGCATGATGTGATGAGTGTTTTATATTACATATATTTATTATTATTTATTCTTTATTTTTTAATTTGATGTTAATGATTTGTCTTTATTTTGAACATGAGCTTTATTAGATTAATTAGCTTGAAAAGTAACAGATTTCGATGATTCAGTTTGTATCTTAAATATTTAATTAAAATTTATCTGACATAAAGTTATTCATTAGATGAAGCAGAATTTAACCAGAAATATAAAACTTAAATATTTTTTTATCTTTTGTGATAAACTTTTTAGATTTAAGATTTTTAGTTTGATTGTTTTATTATTAGTTTATTTAGGAATTAGTTATTTTATTAAAACTCTTGGTATGGTTTTTAGTTTGATTAGAAATTAATCATTTTATTTGTTTATAATTTTCGGGCTATAAATATCTCTTAGGTTCAACCTTTGAACTCATATTGAAATTTATATTTCTTGATTATTTATTGAAGTTTTGATTTTCTTTCATCTTTTTACTTTTATTTCATTATTTTCTTTTATATTCACAATGCTAAGTATGATTCAATCTATGCTTAGCTAAATCTCTTTTAGCTGATAGTTGAACGACGACTCAATCCGTTTCGTGAGAATTGAAAATCACTTAATACCTTCAAGTATCTTTTTTTATTTTCGACAAACAATGTTAGATAATAGATTTAATCTTTAAATTCTTTACATTTCAATTCAAATATTGCACCTTTGCTTGAGTGTTGTTTTCATTTACAGTTGGGAGGAGAATCAGTTTGTAGCAAATTCAAATCCCTAAGAATAAACTTAGTGGTGGTCGGCTAAGGAAAATCAAGATCGGGTTCGATTCTCATTAAGACGCATAATCCGAGCACTGACTTTTCCAGCATTAAAGAAGATATTGACATTAACACTGATAATCAAAGTTAAATCCAAACAATGATTAATTTCCAATAATTGATTATGGGGATTAATTTACATGAGAAAAAAGAGTAAATTACAAAGGTTGGGTCATGTAGACTGTAATCAGCAAGATTTCGAAGTAAAATCTATTTCAAGGATTGAGACGAACCGAGCCGAGTCAAAACGAAGCTATAGACTATCTCCTATCATTATCTCTTTCAATTTTTTATTTTTATTGGTTTGTTATTTTTATTTAGTTTCAGTTTATTCAATTAAATTTGATAAACTTTCTTTTTATTTTAATTTACATATTTTTTGGTTAGAAATCAAATCAAATTTAACTAGAAATTATTTAGTTTATGCGAATCAACTCTATTTATCTATATTATTATTTTTATTTTATTTTATTTAAATTAAAAATTAAATTTATTTATTTGACAAATACTACGACTGTCATATTCTCAATTAAATAACGATAGAACTGGTTGTTTTGATATATGATTTTTCTTGAATTTGCAGATGAGGAGTCAAAAGCGAGGTTCAATTTAGTTTAATATTATATTATTCTTTTCTACGCGCTTTTCATGAAACCTAAACCTTAGGTGCTAAAGATGGTTCAAAATCTCAAATATTGAATATAATATTTGATTACTATCAATTTGGCCGAAAAACACGTGTAGAACTTCCCATGCACTAAAATGATAAATAATAAGCATCTAAATCTTGCATTACAGGATACGCAGGGCAGGCTATCCTAAACTAAACTAAACTAAATAAATAAATAAATAATATTTCTTTTGTTTTTTCTTAAAATATAATTACACTAATTTTTTTAAGCTCGTGAGTATGAGATATAATTAAGTTATAGAGATAGTTGTTATTTTTAGAAGTTTTAAATTCGAATATTAGAGATTTTATGTATATTAAATAATATCTTAAGTTTAAGATTTATGAATGAAAAGAATTTATTGAATTACATTGATGGTAAAAGGGAGTATTATTCTCTTTATATGTTTTAAATTCAAATAATTGTGTTTGTAGGATATACGCTCGAGTATAACTACTCCAATTTAAAATTTCTAAAAAAATAACACTTATTTTTACTATTGAAGTCTTTAAATAGATTTAGTTTTAAAACCTTCTTTCGATGGTTATTTAATGTAATGTTTAATTTTTAAATTAAAGTTTATAAACAATTTACTTGTTTTATTTTTTTATTTTAATTTAACATATTCGATGACTTCCCAACACAATTGTGAATTCAAAATATCCCACCGTAAATACAGCAAACAACAAGGATTGTTTTCATATATAGATCGACTTTCTGACAATTTTTGAATTTGCAGCTGATGCGTCAAAAGCAAAGTTCGACTTTAGTTTGATTTTATACTATTCTTTTCATGAAACAAAAATCTTAGATACTCCCAAAAATTGGGTCTTTAATTACTATCCACTTGGCCAAAACACACATGTCTAGAACTTCCCATGCAACAACTCTAAATAAATAAGCATCTAAATCTTGAATATAGGATATGTAGGGCAGGCTATCCTAGAATAAACAAATAATTAAAAAAAATTTGTTTTAAGAATATAAAATAAGATTATACATTAAGACTAATTTTAAGCTTATTAAACCTAGGTATAATTAGTTTTCATTATTTTTTTAATAAGTAGATATATTTTAAAAATATTAAAATTTAAACTCATACAATATGAAATAAAATAAATATTTTTCACCACTCGGTCAATTAATAAATTTCAATTATTATTAATGATAATAAATATCGTTTTTACAAAGATTTACATTTAAATATACTACATATGTATATAGGTTTAAAAGTAACATTAATAATATATATATATATATATATATATATTAAATATGTATATAGGTTTGAAAGTAACATTAATTTAAAATTTAGATTATTATTTTTATTATAATTGAGGAAACATATTAGGGGGAAAGAAATGTGTGGAGGTAAGAGAAAGGGCATGGTTTTCTAAGGCAGTGGCCCATTCCCTACCTATAAATGTGAGGGGTTTTTACATAACTGACACCGTTTGATTTTAATTTTACTTTTCTGACACCGTTTGATTAATATTTCCAGAACTAGCACCCTTTCTGCTGAGTTGGCAAAGGCGCGTCCCCGGGGGCGCGCTTTACCCGTGTTTTTCGCTGAGTTGGATGCCACCAACTCAGCAGACACGTATTTTATTTTATAATAAATAGTTTATTTTTATTATTATTATAAATTAATAATATATTATGTAAAATGTTTCGATTATAATGTAAGAATTATCAAGTTTCGAGTATTTTTGATTTTGATTATCGATCTATTAATTTTATCAGTTAATTATTTAAATGTTATCAATCTAGTCAATATTTAACGAAAATATTGATGCATAAGTTAATAAATTAGTATGATTACATATTTAATCTTCAAGACTTACATATTTTATAAAATTAGTCTTATTGAAAATTTAATTTAATAAATTTAAAAGTTATAACGAAAAAATTATAACTAATAATATTAAATATTATATTAAATATATTTATGTATTTAAAAGTTAAAAAAATTTATTTAGGTGTACATACATTGACAAATTATATAAATGCAATAACATTAAATTATTAGAAATAAAAACATTCATTTAAAAACTTTAATTACATAAGAGTTAACGGTTATATGATGATAACAGAGCTGGGCATTTTTTTCTATTGTGCCCGATGTTTCTACAATGCCCACATCGTTTTTGTTCTGTTGACTTCTCCCGAATATCCATATCACAATGTATTCTAGTAGATTTTGGACGACCTGAGTCCCTCAATAGCAATGGATCTGGTACAATTGTAAGCCAAGTTTGAATCTCATTTGGGTCTCTTTCGTTTCCTATGGGCGGAAACTCAAATTCATATACCTTGAAAACTTGTGAAAGTTGGTATACGGGATCAACATAATTTTTGTAGTCCAAATGCGAATGTGAGCAAGCAGCAATGACATGAGAGTATGGATATTTGAGTGCTTGAAAGAAACCACAATCGCACCACCTCTCTTGCAGATTAACTCTGAAAGAGTTAGCTTCAATCCCTTGCAGCGGACGTGGCATTTCGGTTACACGAAACAATTCACGGGTGCGAGAAAAATTTGTAACTAACATCCCATTTGATGTAGCCACTTTTTTCTGTAAATCGGCTACTAGTCTTGGGTGGTAAATATGTTCGTTTTGCATCCAAGTAAGAGCTTGTCCACCGAGTTTTGCAAAGAGTTGACCCAAACGAAAATAAGTCATTTTGACCAACGCCGTGACTGGTAAATGACGCGCCCCCTTTAAGGTTGAATTTATTGCTTCAGCCAAGTTTGTTGTCATATGACCATAGCGATACCCCCCGTCATATGCATTTGTCCACATTTCTTTGCTGATGTCCATAATGTACTCGCACCCCTTCTTATTTTTGCCAAACAACTCTTGTAGCATCGACTCAAACCTTTGAGGTAAGAGTTCGTAACCTAAGCCATTAGGAATAT